AGCGCCAAGGCATGAGCCAGCACGCTCTGTGGGTGCAGCCTGTGCGCCCAGTCCTGTGTGTGTGTCCTCGCTCTGGCCGGGCAGCGAGGGATGCGGTGGTGCCAGGCGCGGGGGCTGCTGAGCGGGGAGGCAGGCGGCATCCCTGCCCCGGGCCCCGCTCCTCGGCTCAGCTCCCCCATCTCCCGGCAGCCGTGGGAGCAATAATGAGATGGAGCAGCAGAAGGACGGCGAGATAAGGCTGCCTGCGCTGCCCCAGCAGATTAAACGCTGGGATTAAGCAGGCGGTGCCAGCTCTGCTGCCTTTTTATCTCGCTGCTTCTCCCCTCTTATTCTCCCGCAGTCGATAGTGAACGGTCTCCGAGCTGTCAGCAAAGGAAATTGCTTGTTAACCCTTTGGGGACGGCCAGCAGCGCTCCCTGTACGACTGCGTTCAAAGAGAAACCGTCCCCGGGGAATGCGCTGCCCGTGGAGCACTGCGGGGATGGGAGGATGAGGGGATACCTCCCCGCAGTGCCCCGCATGCGAAGGGGAGCAAGGCAAGGCCAGGGGCGCCCAGGATCTGCTGCCGAAAGCCACCAGAGCCCAACCAGCACCATGCAGAGGCACTGATGTACTGGGGTCCCTGGGGGGTGACAACTGCCACAGAGCAGAAGCTGTCTAAACTCCACAAAGGAGCCCCGGCATACCCCACTTTCTGGTATCCTTGATGTTCCCTGCTTCCTCCAGCCTGCAGGATGTGTGGGCTTAGTGCTACATCTGTGTGTGAAACCAACCACACGGCTGGGGATCCTTCCCTGGCGCTGGGGAGAAGAGGCACGGGCCATCTGTGTCTGCAGAGCACCGTGTATGGTGCTGGGTCTCCTCCGGGTGCCAAGGGGAGCCCGCAACCCAAACCCATCACTATTGCTCTCTGTGTATGTGAGTGTTTTGTTGGGTTTGCAGCAGCGAGGCTGAGCTGCATCCCATCCCAGAGCTTATCTGTAGCGTGCTGTGCTGTGTGCCCGGGGGCGGCATGCCCGGCGCGGGGGTGTCTGAGGGTGGGAAGCCGGCTGGAGAGCGCCGGAGGATGCACAGAGTAATGTCAGGATTGCTGCTCGGCACAGTCCAAACCCAAGCTAGGGAGGGTGGTAGTAGATCGGCAAACTCGTTCTGGCATGTTTGGGGGTGCAGCTTTGGTGCATCTTTCCCATAGGGACCCTGTGCACCTCCTGAAGCAGGAGGAAGAAACATAGGACAGAAATCTCCTGCAGCTCCAGCACCCCATTCATGTTCTAAGGGAGAGACCAGGGTAGGTAGGCAGCATGATCAGCATCTCAGATATGTTGGCTGGCTGCCAACAGGATGGACTTCCCCAGCTCCTGCCCCCCCATCTCACTGCTCCTGCCCCCCCAACTCTCTACACCCCTTCCCTGCAGTGCAACACACCTTTGCCATTGGAACTTCATCTTCTGCAATTCCCTTGGTGTTGGCTCCTTCACCTGCCCAGGCGTCCTTTTTGGTGGACTCTTTT